ATCTATGTTCTTTTTTAAAAATTACAAAATAACAAAGGCTTCTTGTTTCTTTATGACATGAGAATGTATTGAAGTAAATTAATCAAAAAATTACACTTTTTGCTTATTAAATAGTAGTATTTTTGTCAGCATTTATCCTCGTAAGTCTTAATGCTGCAATTCTACTATGTTTTTACACTATTTTCTTATTTTTCCTCTACCGTGGGAAGTAGATTACCTAAATGTTCTTAGTCCTAATATTCGTCTTTCCATGGAAATAATTTAGGTAACAGTATAATTTAATATCTTTTCCTGAAATCATAATGTATATTATGAAGCGTGATAGAATGTTATCTTATTCAATAAATAAATAAAAAATAATAATAATACGCAATTACTTTAAGATGGTTTTAATTCCCTCTATGTCTTGTGCCAAGGGGATTTTCATTTGCCCTGTGATTTCTGAAATAAAATAGCTATCCCATTTCTTGAAAATATTGCTTATTCAGAATAAAATCTCTACTATTCGGAGGTAGGGATTTCTTCCTTGGATTTCCGAATGTTTTAATATTGCTTTCAAATGCAGTTTTCATTAGCAAGTGGACGTTAATGATAATTTAAGGTAATACGTCCATGTTATAAATTAACGTTTTTTAAAAAAAATAATAATATTAAACTGTCCCCCTCACTCCCAATTGCTTAAATTATTTTCATGAAAATGATAATGAGGATTAAGAACTTTTAGTTGTTAATTTTATACTATATGAATGAATTCCTTAGATAATGAATATTTAAAAAACAAGTTATTTTTCTTCAAATGTTTTTAACAAAGACAAACTCTACTTAGGCTTGAAATAAATTTTGTTTATGGGCCTGATGAATAAATGGATTGTTTGTTGGTGTTACTTTATCGCACTGTAATTGTAAAACGTTCTCACTGTAATTGAAAAACGAAAAAGATTTTCTTAATATTTTTTCTTCTATTAAATGGATTCTGTGTGAAGAATATGTCAAAACAAATTTTATTTTCATTTTCAGATTATATGATATGTGCATGTAATCATAGTTTCAGTACCCGTCAATTTTAGAAGAAAATAGATCGTTTTAGTAAATCATGAAAATTGTAATAATATCAACATTACTGCATCTTTTCAGATGAAAATTACCACGATAATATGGTCCAATGAACTAAGGGAAATGGCATAAATCAGACCTCCAAAAACAAATTGAAACTGGAGATATACAATAAAAAGATTTTTTTAATACTTATAAAGGCATATAGTTTAAAACTTATTTACATGGTTTGGAACAGGAATAATTCAGTTTTCCCACAGTTGTAACAAGGTTGTATTAGAAGAAAGTTCGGAGGAATTAGGATTGGATAAACGGCATAAAAAATGTTTTCTATAACATCAAGTATAAACTATAATATTTATTGATTTCAAAACAAATTTGAATTTAATAGTTTAAAATGACGTTAACAGCGAATTTGAATTGCTGCTTAGTTACAAAAATTAACTTGGCCTACTTCATTAGTAGGATATTTTGTTTTTTATGATTTATAATAAATTTGAATTCGATTAATACAATGAGCTAATGGAAAAAGGTTCAAAATATATATGTCACTTATAAAACAGTTGTATTAGGCTCAGATATGTTGCTGCATCTTTGAAACATGTTACATTGTATCCGTTGCTAAAACCTGCAAAACAAGGAGATAAACCTGAGCATTGTCTTCCAATAAGTTTATACATCATCATAATAAGAAATACATCATATTTCCAAAGTCTTCGAAAAAATAATCTTAAAATATCACCAAGACTTTTGCCAGGAACATCCCTGGCCAACAAACTGGATTTCGGCCTCAGCTATGCAGAGCATCCTTTAGCAAAAGTGCAAAACCAAATTACCCAAAAACTGGAACCTAACGCTGCCACTGCGATGATCTCGATTTACTGCAAAAAAAGGCCTTTGTTTCCGTTGCGCACTCTATTCTAATTCAAAAACTGAAATGTTTGCAGTGCCCAGAACAGTTGTACTCTATTTTGAAATCGTCCCTCATTGGTTGAAGTACTGTACTTGTCTGATTGTACTTGTTATTCATAATTACTATAATACAATAACTTTGACAGGTGGAGTACCTCAAGGTGCGGTCCTTTCAACAACTCTGTGCAACATTTACAATGCTGAAATAATTGGCAAACATTTCAACATTGCTATATACAGCAGCAGTATGAACGCTACAAAAGCATTAAAACAACAACAGACCTGCAATATCATATATAATTGTTAAATATATAACTGAAATTTTGAAAAACACCACCGAATTGACAAAAACATTGTTAACATTTCTTCAAATAACGCACCTATGCAACAAAATTTAAATTTTGCTGACTATTTTTTTGGAAATTTTAATATTTTAAATATTTTGTGCTTTCAATTTATAGTTAAATTTTATCTGATGTAATATAAATATTTTGTAAGGAATAAAATGACCCGTAAGTGGTTGAGGAACCCCGATCGTTATAAATAAATAAATTGTTAAATATACGAGTAAATTCAACAAAAACCGATTGTATAATATTTTCGTTTAAAAAAACAAGAAAAAATTTTGAGTTGGCGATTCATACAATAAAATATCAAATAATTTAGTCTCTCTCGAAATAAAATTTAAAGACAAAAATCCTACAAATTCAGTTACCTCCTCACAATCTCAAACCTCAGTCTTAGATTAAAATTACTCATCTACAAAAGCATTCTTCTCCTTCTCTTCTCTATGGTGCTCCTCTATTGTTCCACATTTCACATAATACAAGCAAGAGATTTCAGCGATTCCAAAATGGAATTTTAATAAGAATAGCTAAAAACACATCATTTGAAAAAGAAAAATCCGATAAACTACACACCTTCGTAAATTTACCCAGCATATCTGAATTCATAAACAGAAGAATAATAAAATTCAATGATTCTTTAAAATATTTAACCAATGGAGAATTCAATACGATTAGTTTTCCGCCGGCTCCTCGGTGATGGTAAAATACAGAAGTAAGGTAGATTTTAAGTTAAGAAAAGTACTAAGATAATTATCAAGATAGAGTCCCACCACCCTGATTGAAAGTCAAGAAATAAAGATAAACAGAACTAAGAAAGATGCAGCACAAGGAACATCTTAAACATAAGTAAGAAACGAAAACATATATAAAACTAGGGTTTTGAAAAAAAAAAAAAAAAAAAAAAAAGCAATGAGCAATATGTTTTTCTTAATTATACAAAAAATAAAAATAACCAAGTGATATATTACAACACGAAAATCCAAGCACATCTAATAAATAAAACTATAATATAAACAATTTTATATTTTTTTTTACTCCTTTGGTACTTTGGCAAGAACCCTCAGAGGTGGTTTTAATATTTTTCGACCTAGTATCACCAAAAAAATGTTTCATTGACATTGCTGTCCCCGCGTCCGTAACCTCAACTTGTAAATAACTGCACGCTTTTTCTTACTAGGTGGACTTCGTCCAGGTGTAATTCGTGGCAATATCTAATTCACTTCTGATTAATTTATTTAATCAATAATTAATTATGATTAACTGACCAATCATTTTATGTTTAATATTTTACTAGAGTTGTTGCAACGGAATAACTAATCTATTTAAAGTTTTATGATAAGTTTAACTGTTAATTTAAATAATTAATTTCATTATGGAATTTTGGAATCAAGTTAAAAGATAATTGGGTAGAAAAGGACAATTTAAATTTTCTATGATTTGCTGGGATTAGCTCGAAAGTACAAGGATTGGCATCTCCAAGGATTAGGAAGAAAAACTCTAGACAACAGACTATTGTCTGCTTATACGCGTTTCACCTTACCAAACTAGAAAGGCTTCAAATGCTACTATGAATGACAAACCCTGAATAATACTATCACATAAATACTACAACTTTTTCCGTAAAGACAACGATTAACTAACAGGACTAAATTTAAAAATAAAAAATTAGAAAAACGTCACAACCGACGTGTGGTTGGTGTCGGTAATGACTGGTTAAAACATACACCAAAACGGACTATAATCACTTTTGTAACAAAAGAAACGAAATTTGGGAACAATTTTGCTTTATCTTTACACTGCCTTATGGCAAAACCTCTTAGGCAAGGTAAAAACAACACATCGACTATGGTCATGTTTGTTTTAATCGAGAAGGTATTTCATATTTCAAGGTATTTCATGTACAAACCACAATCTTTATAGTCCGGGTCAGCACATCGTACTTTTTATAAAATTATTAGCATCCGCCTAAAATTTCGTGAATAGCTTCATCGCATCGTAACCCACAACTATTTTATTTGCGAAAACTCTTTGAATTGTGGCGTTTCAATTTGGAGGTCAGTAAAAATTGTCTATTTAATTAGGTACTTAAAAACTCGTATATACTCATTTGCTTTCCACTTGGATCGGAAGATAATATGATCATAAAAACGAGAAAAAAATGCCTACATAAATATTGGGCCGTTTGGCTTATACAATCTCGTTATTTTCACATTTTTGTGGTGACCAAGATCCTTCAATGGAATGGATTGTCGAGCTCGGGAGGATGATGATTATCTAATTAAAATAATTAATTTAATGAGAAAGCGCAAAATTTTTGAGAATTGTAATTCTCGATCAAATATTTGTAGGTTACGATACGATGAAGCCATTTACGAAGTTCTTCGCGGATGTTATTAATATGATGAAAAGAACTGTACCACGGACTAGCGCATTTTATTTCCAAATTGAACTAAGTTGAGAATAGAGTCAATTATAGAACTTTGGAATATTTATAAGATTACGTGTTCATTGCGTAATAAGGAATTGATTAAATTTTGGAAACGTATTATGAATAATACATCGCTCTGAAACAATAAAATGATATACAATTTTCATTTTTCCTGATTCTTGACGTTTTTTTCTTTCTTGAAGGAATTATATCCGGATTAGTATATAACGCTGGCGAATCGTAGAGGTAAATCAGTCGCAATGAAATTCGTATCAGCTCTTGTGGTTTTGGCAGCTTTTGCAGCAGCCGATGCACAGTCTTCGTTCAAGCTCGACGGACACGAAATCCAACAAGTCCTTGCCGATGATAAGCTTTATCACCAGTATTTTAACTGCGTCATGGATAAAGAGAAGTGCACACCAGACGGCCAGGATTTAAAAGGTTTAAACATATTTTTAACATATAACTGGAAGATCCCAGAAATTTTTATTTTATATATAATTGTACAACTAATGATAAACATCATTACTTGTTTTTAAATAGTTGATATAGTAGTGGAAGCAGGGCTGGAACTAAGATTGTTATTAATGAGGAAGTGAATGCTTAATTCACCCCTCTCCTCTCCCCCCTCCGTTTGCCACAATAATCGTGAACCTAGTTTTATTAAATTAATTTAGGTAATATACATATTTCGGAATAAATATATCATCATTTAACAGCAGCTCATTCCACTGACTTATTTCAGATAAAACAACCTAAAGGCAGAAAAAAGAAACTTTTACTAAACCTAAATAAGGTTAAGAATTTGCTTACTAAAATTATTTTGTTCACATTATAAACTTATATTCATGTAAAAATAATAGTATTTAATCAACCTTATATTAATTAAAATATTGGATAATTTGTTTAATCATTATTCATTTAATTAATTTTATGAAATTTATCGAATGTTAATACAATCTTCCACACTAAAGAGAAATATTTGAAGTCCTTGGTTCATTTTTGAAATTTGGCCACTTAATCCTGAAACATTCTGTATATAAGTCCTAGATAACAAACTTGAACTTCGATTGTCATTTTTCTTCAAACTATTTTTTATTTTTGGAAAATTGATTTTTAGATGAGATTTCGCTTAGTATTTTACTGCGCAAAGAAAAAGGCTGTGTGGAGGAAAGTTATTCTTAGTAGTCATCTTCGAATATAGAAAACCACTCAGAAAGTTACAAATTTCTAAAATATATAACTATAATCTGAAATAATACGACATACTACTTAGTATGTAAAATGATTTCAATCATTTTGTTCTTAAAATTCATTTTTTAACTTTTCACGGCTACATTTATAAAAAGTACAATAAATATACAGAAACCAAATCTTGATTACGCAAGTTTTTAATTTAAAGTACGGAGGTTTCCTTGAAAAATTAATACTTAATTCATTGATATTTCAAAATATATGAAAATTGCCTTAAATAACAACAAAATTTAATTACATAAAACAAACAAACAAATTCGTGTAGTTTTAATAAACAAATTTTATTAGTATATGAGAAAGATTGCACAGTTAGGAATAAAATAAGTATAACAGTAAATTATAAATATTAATTAATGATGTACAGATGGTTGACCGTGATATAATATGAGAAGAAGTTTATTGGAAGGTGCGGTCAAATAAATACTAAATTTTAAAAAATAACTAAAATTACTTTTTTAATTAATAATTAAAAATACTATTTTTTTTAAATTTTGTGTTTATTCCACCGCACTCCTCGATCAACTCCTTCTCATATAAATATTTCAAGTGAACATAAAAAAAAAAAAAATTGATGATGTTCGCTCCTTTCATCAATGTCTATAAGAAAAATTACTAAAATTCTCCTCTATTTCTGTAAATGCTCATGATAATAAAACTGATATGATTAATCATATTAGAAACAATCATATAAAATTTACACCAATATTAGTGCCATTCGTGTTAACAATCATTACGTTTTCATACAAAATCGCTATTCCCGTTCTAATTAAATGGACAGATATGAAATATTAACCCCAAATAAATAAATAATTACTTATTACTCCTTCTTTGTCTTTTAGGCTACACGGGATTTATCCCGGGCAAAAGGAGCGGGCGGGGAATTACGCCCAGTTAAAAGTCCCACAGGACTCCGGGATTTAAACTCCTAATCGTTTGTGCGCAGGTGCATTGTTCTACATCAGTTTACCGGCCAACGCATGACACTGCTTATAACCGATGCTGTTGTACTAGTGTCAGCCCGCTTAATAAAATAAAATAGTAAGAATTGATTATTGTTATGAACAATAACAGTAAACAATAAAAGAATTGTCTGCTTTACGTGATTTTTAAAACTTAGTGGCCATTTATAAATGGGTTGTTATTTCTTTAAAAAATGGATAAATAAATAAATGAGATTTACAGTTGTAGAAAAAACATCCACCTATTTGTTCATATAAAAATTTTGTATTCATCTTTAAAAATAAGAAGGGAAACAGTTCTTAAATAAAGTTTTACTAAGTTATATGTCATTCTAGTTATTTTAATTTTTTTCTGAATATATATATATTTCATTTAATCTGTACAAATAAGATTATTATGATTATTTCAGATCATATTCCTGATCACATAAATGGAGGTTGCGCCAATTGCACACCAGAAAGGAAGGAAAGAGCAAAGACGCTAGTCAGATTCATGGTTGCAAAGAAGAATCATGATTTCGAAGAATTTGAGAAAAAGTATGACCCCAAACACATGATGAGGAAGCAATATGGCCAGTGACTCAATCCGATTGAAAAATAAAAAATGTTATGAATCATATCCTGTTCACTTTCTTTTATATAATATAAATATGATTCCTGAATTCATTGATTTCATTGAACCACATAATCATTTGATTTTAAGAATGCTAAATACTTGAACCTGGAGAGGTCGGTAAATATGTAATAAACAAAATGACTATGGCAGATAGAACTTATATATACATAGTAAATGTTACTCTGTTTGTTTAATTAAAAGTTAAACTGTTATGTTTATTCTGTTTACTTTAATTGTTATAAATAAATAACAAAATAATTAAGAGAAAGAACATAAACGTTAGGTTACTACTGGCTAAATTCAAAACTATAAAGCCTTATGTATTTAAAATGAAGGCAAAGAAAAAGCTGGGGACTTTCAGGAGGTCTAATACGGCCGCTGTACTGCTGCAGTTACAGTACCTACCTGTACTGTCATCATACCTAGTGTTGCTCACTCACCAACATGAAATCCAATATGTTCCTCCACCGCCTAATGCTACAGATCTTACTAGTTTATTGACATCTTTCCTTACCGAATTTAAATCCCTTGTCACCCCACTGATATCACTTCTTACAAACCTGATATCTCATCTCATTCCTTCTTTAAAAATCCTTAAATGACTTTCATCAAACCCATATCCATTCTCCTATGGAATGCGAATGGTGTTAGAAATCACACAGACGAACTAACAGCCTTACTATTAGACAAGAACATTGATGTAGCCCTAATTACAGAAACTCGACTGACCAAAAAACAGCTTTTGAAAATACCACAATATTTAACGTATCGGACAGACCACCCTGATGGTAGAGCACATGCCGGTACTGCTGTCATCGTACATCAATCCCTCTCTCATCACATAATCCCATTGCCTGATCACGATTTCCTACAATCCACTGCAGTTGTAATCAAAACCTTTTCCTTTCCTGTCACCAATGCATCAGCATATTGCCCTCCTAACCGATCCATATCCAATGTCCATTTCACCTCTCTCCTAAATTCCTTAGGAAACCACTTCATCCTGGGTGCAGACTTAAACGCCAAGCATCAACAATGGGGTTCAAGAACCACGAATTCTCGTGGTCGAACATTGCTGTCTGCACTCAATTCCCAATGGTTTACCCTCCTTCCTCCCAATTCACCTACCTACTGGCCCACTGACCCTAACCGTAATCCCGATATCCTCGATTTCTTTATCCACAAAGGTTTAGGTACCCTCCACCATTCCCTTGCCCATCTTGATGAGCTTTCCTCAGACCACAGTCCATTAATATTCCAAGTATCATTAGCTCCTATTCCTAAACCCTCTCCACCATCCTTCATCAGAGGCTCAGTTAACTGGAAACTCTTTCATCAAATCCTCTCCGATAAAATTGACCTCAGAGTAACCCTGAAAACCCCTGAAGACCTGGACAATGCAGTACATTCCTTCACTACCAAAATTCAAGAAGCAGTCTGGACTGCTTCCTCCTCTGATCATTCCTCAAAAATCCTTAAGAAACATAATTTACCTCAACACCTCCTTGACCTAATCCACATAAAACGCCGTGCCAGATTATTATGGCAACGTACCAGACATCCAGCCGACCGCCACTCCTACAATTATCACAGTAAAAAATTAAAACAAGAATTAGCCACCTTCAGATCCCAATCATTCAATTCCTACCTCACCACACTCTCTGCTCATGATAATTCCCTTTGGAATATCACCAGAAAAATCCTCAAATCCCATCATATTTCCCACCCTCTTCGACGAGGTGATGGCTCCTGGGCAGCATCTGATGAAGATAAAGCCGAGGAGTTTGCCAAACACCTTTCCTATACTTTCGCTCCTCATCCGGAATCTCATCCTACCCACACAGTAAAAGTAGAAGAATTCCTTTCTTCACCTATCCCACTCTCCTTACCACCTAAAGCAGTTAATCCCTCTGAGGTCAAATACCTATTACGCAAAATCACTCCTCGTAAATCTCCTGGATATGACCTTCTAACCCCGCAGATCCTACGACAACTACCATCCAAAGCCATCATATTTCTAACCTATATATACAATTGTATCCTCCGAACTACCCACTTCCCTCTCCTATGGAAACATTCCACCATCATCCTTTTCCTGAAACCAGGCAAGCCTTCCAATAATACATCATCCTATAGACCAATTAGCCTACTTCCAATTCTTTCAAAAATTTTTGAAAAGATACTCCTGAAAAGAATCCTACCCATAATAGACTCCCGTAAAATCCCTACCCATCAATTCGGATTCTGTTCCCAACATTCTACCGTCCAACAAGGACTCCGAGTTGTTGACCACATATCCTCAGCCCTTGAAAACAAGCAGTTCTGCTCGAGTGCATTTTTGGACATAGCGCAAGCTTTTGACCGGGTGTGGCACGCCGGACTGCTCTTCAAGCTCAAATCCCATCTACCACAGTCCTTATACCTAATACTCCAATCCTACCTCTCCGACCGCTCCTTTCGAGTTCGCTGTACAGAATTTTCCGACTGTTATTCAATTGAGGCTGGAGTTCCTCAAGGCAGCGTCTTGGGTCCCATTCTTTACATCATCTACACCGCTGACATTCCCGTCCATCCCGATACAATCCTGGCAACTTTCGCTGATGACACTGCGATCCTATCTTCTAACTCAGATCCTGAAATAGCGTCCAAAAACCTGCAACGGCACCTATCCTTGATTGAACACTGGTGCAAGAAATGGCGCATCAAAGTAAATGAATCCAAATGTAAACATATAACCTTCACCCTTCGTCGTAATTCATGTCCACCAGTTTACTTTAATACCATCCAGCTTCCCTTCTGCGACACAGTCCGGTACCTTGGTTTTCTCCTAGACAGACGAATAACGTGGAATCCGCATACTAGACTGAAAAGACAGGAACTTAACCGACGTTATGGCCACCTATATAGACTATTTAATGGAAAATCTAAACTTTCTATTGAAAACAAACTACTGATCTACAAGACAATATTAAAACCCATGTGGACCTACGGACTAGAACTGTGGGGGACAACCAAATTTTCTAACATCAAACGCATTCAATCCTTCCAGTCCAAAGTCCTCCGTACAATAGTCGATGCTCCCTTCTATGTCTCTAATAAAACCCTGCACAATGACCTTAATATTCCATTTATTCTTGATCTTATTCCAGACAAATTATCCAAATTTCATCAGAACCTTACCCATCACCCTAATCCCGTAGCACAATCCCTATCTAGCACCACTCATCCCTACAATCCTCCTCGCAGGCTGAAACGGCAGTGGCCCCGTGACCTTTTGTAACATGTATATACTGGAGTTCTGGCAATGGCCAGATTCTCCACTCAACTCATGAGTGTCCGTGGTTGTAGCGCCCTTACTCAATCTCCGCTGGCTTTCAATGCCAGTGAAATGGTTGAGCAAGAAGCGCAGGGATCCCCTGAAGCCTTGCTTTCCCTCCACATGTGGGGGGATAAGTATGGTTCGGAGTTCCTATGGCCGACTGTAAATAGTGTAATAGGTATGCCTGCGTCTAAGATGTTTATTTTCATTACTTTTTTTTTTTTTTTTTCTCACTATGATATTTTATTTTGTTCTTTCGTAGGTTTATATTATTTGAAATTAGCTTATTTTTTTTATTTATTTATTTTTTTTAATTTGTAAATATGGTGTGAATGTGCTCTCAGAACTCTATTATAAATGTCCTTTATTGAGACAGATTGTAATATTTACCAATTAAAAAAAAAAAAAAAAAAAAAAAAAAAGTGTTGCTCAAATACGAGACCGAGACGAGTCTTGGCCTTGCTAACTCAGTCTTGGTCATGGTCTAGGTCTTGCGCAAGATCTTGCAATTACTTATCAGCTTATTTATAAAGAGATATTGCAGCAATTTTTTAGATAAGAGTAGCTTAACTAAGCCCGAATGAAAAATTAGAATACTTATATGCAAAAGCATATTGGTTACACAATTCTTTACCTATAATAACTAAAATTGTGAAGTATTAGTTCTACAATTTTGTCTTAATTTCTGTTCAAAAAATCGATTTTTTTTTTACCAGTCAGTCTTGGTCTTTCAACAGTCAGGAGGTCTTGGTCTTTTTGGTTAGGACGTAGACTTAGGAAGTCAACACCGATATGGGCAACACTAATACGCATACCCATAATAGAGTATAAATATTTCACGAAGTGATTTTAGATTAGCTATTTTTCTGTCCTGATGTTGCCTGAATTGGTGAAACGTTGACGGATACTTCTTTTCCTGCATTTCGGAGACATAAGGCTGTGTAGTTTGGAATTTTGACAATAATAAGTCAATTTTGTATTTTGCTTGTTATTAAGGTATCAACCCATTTTTACATAATATGTTAAAGAATTATTTCATTTAAAAATTAATTTTTATTTTTTTCTACACAATTTTGTTTTTATATGCAAAATGACAATTATTTTCTAAGTAATTAATCGACAATATGACTACTTTAGCAAGTAGTCATATTGTTTGTCATTTTTTTTGTAAATGTAAATAAATAAATCTACTATGAAAAAAAATAAGGATGTTACTTTACTTAATGATTTATTAAACATTGAAATATACAGGAATTGAGAATACTTAGTTTTAAAGCTCTATATGAAATACTTCTTTAAGATTTAGGCACAGATTTGGCCATAGATGCGAACTACGCACAGTAAGGGCTTTTACAATATTGCAAGGATTGAGTAGTACATTGCACCTACGAAAAAAGAACTACACTTCTCATCCTGGACGGTTGGATAACATCTCTTTAATATTCCCATCATTTATTAAGGCTCTAACAATCAAGCCTAGAAATATTGCGCCCTTGACGATTCCTTGGCAATCCGTGTGGGGACTTACTAATTGCAAGTGTCACACTAATAAGTTAACTTAAACTTTCATGATTAGATAGCTTCCGCTTGGAAGATAATACATAAGGACTTAAAGGCCCCAAAAGAAAATAACAATAAATTTCATCAAACGCATAAGTACTTACAACAT